AAGACTATAATATGATAGATTGGCATTAATTAATTATAATTTAAAAATATTAATCTCTAATGTTAATAATATTTATAGGGTAAAAAATATAAGGAATTACGTATGGAGAAATTATCAGCATGTTTAGAGGTACCTTCAAAAGAATCAAGATATTTCCATTGCAAACGAAAAAGTGATGAAAATTAATCTAAAAATCAGAAAACGTCCATGAATCACTTGAATTGGCATCAATATAAGGTATATCTATTAAAAAAACATCGACTGAGTTACATTAAAAATAGTTTAATAACTTTATCCTAATCAAAGAAGAATTCTTCATGGAAGATATAAGAAAAATTAGTAAGTATTCATAAGTTTTATATTTTGTTCTTCAAATACTAAAGAAATTAAATATTAATATTATGATCTAAAGCAAATTGGTAATGAAAACAAGTCTTTAGTTTAGATCTGTATGGAAAATAACAGGGATAGAGCAAATGTAATATTATTAACATAACAGAAACTCTTATTGAATACACATCAGAAAAAATCATTATAGAGAAAAAAAGAGATAGCCCCTAACCTGAAATAGAAAAAAAAAATCAAAGTGTGTATTTTAAGAAGTTTGTGTCAAACATCATAAATACATTTAACTTCTTTGTAAAGTTAAATGAGAAGATAAAATATTAACGAACCCAAGAAAGATAACATAACAAAAAGTATAACTCCAACCTTATGTCACAATCGATGTAGATGATGAATACACTACTTTAGAATTTATTGGAAACAAAATAAAGGTGAAGAATGATTGATCTTAGCTCAATAAAAGAATAAAAAAGAAAGAAAAAAAGTTCTGAATATTTTCTATAATAGTTTAATTATTTTGAGTGAAATTAAGAATATTTAGAATGGAGTTTCATGAACTTTTTTAGTACTTTTATATGCTTATGTGGATGTTTTTATCATATAAAAGTATACTATAGTTAGCATTAATCTTTAGTTTATAATTTTTTATGAAGTCTATTAGTGATTAGGAATAAATTTTATATTCCTTTTGTATCGTTTTAACATACTTTTAATCAATTATTTTTCCTTATTGGTTTTAAATATTCATTTTCCTTGTATAACACCATTTTAATATTTTTTTTCCTTTTGCAACACTGTACTTTCTCAAGTAAAGCTTAGTTTCATGTCAGTCAAAATAATATAAAAATTTAAATTAGCTTTAAATTATATTTATTTTCTAACAATTTAAAATATCAACATGAAAATTTAAATTGGGTGTAGCCCATTTAAACAAAAAACAAAGAAAATAAATAATCACAATATTAAAGTTTGGAGATAAAAGTGAGCATAAACTATTAAAGTGAAAATGTAGAGAAACTTGCTACATAATGGGGATGCAGGAGAGGCGGAAACCAGGTCAAAGAAAACTTTAGAAGCTAATGAAAATAACGAGGGTAGATAAAAGAGTAAATATAACATTCATTGTGTAGAAGTTACTTAAAACTGTCACGTGAGGGTCACATGGGAAAATTCAGAGGAATACTCCCAATGATATTAATAGAAGATGCAAACTTGTCTTTTTTAAAACATGTTAGGGTATATATTTCCTATGAATTAGGGATATATAATGCTAAAAGGATGAAGCTATATAGGGCATTTAAGTACAACTCAGCATTTTCAATGCATATAAGTTATAGATTTGGATCCTCTCTCCCAATAAAAATTGGAAAATTAAGGATCTTTATCAAGACTAACTCTCTAGAAGCAGAATAATTTCCAAATCAACCTTCCAACGTCCATGAATGTATAAATCACTATATCTATGAGGGTGTTTTGTAGAATTTGTATTAAAATATTTAGATATTAGTCCCTCAATGTTTTTAAATTAGCATTCAATATTATTGAAATTGCTTACGATCCCCTGAGTTTTAAATATTGTTAGTGCTACTTTTCATAGCAGGGATTAGTTTGAAACATGTTATAAGAATGGAAATAACTAGTAGCGAGTAGGGTGTTTGGGTGAACTTATTCTTTGAAACTTATAAGTTATGCTAGCTTTTAATGGTTTTTTTAGCTTTTATGATAAAAATGTTACACAAATTGTTAGGGCAGAATAATAATTTTTTAGTCAAACCTAACTTATTTAGATGAGCTTATGAGTTAGTTTTTCAAAAGCTGAGGCATATACCAGCAAAAAATGGGACTTATAAGCTAACTTATTTGATATTTTCCCAAACAATTAGATATTAAAAAGCTAACTTACAAACTAGTTTGACCAAAAATTAAGCTCCCCAAACAAATATGAAATAACTTATAATAAGTAGATGATCTGATAGCAATTTCAATTATTTAAGAGATTAGTTTCAAAATATTCAAGTTCAAAGTGACTAATATCTAAAAAACCCAAAACTGTAGCATAACATTTAATTTTTTTCACTCGTTATTATTATTTATTTAGACTAAATTTTCTTTTGTAATATAGATGAGATAGGAACTAATTAATATTTATATGCGAAGTAATAAAACATAGGAATTAATCTTCAAAACATTTCCA